ACCTGCCCAGATAATGGCATGTACTGGATTTAGTATATACACCTCAGATGGGCAGGTGCCAGATGTGTAAAAAGGAAAATGCTGGACACGTGGTTAGCATTTCTAGCTGTATAAATACTCATCACATTGCTTTCTAGAAGAAAACAACTTTAACCAAGTTACCTCTAAAAAGACTGGACATTATTTTCCAACATATGTACGATTTGCACTTTTTACCATGAATATCTTTGTAACATTTTTTTTCAAAGGAGATTTTGAGTGTGTGTGCGTGTCCGCCAGCACAGAGGGAGGGAGAGGCAGAGAGAGAGGTACAAGGAGACTCCCCGCTAAGTGGGGAGCCTGATGCAGGGCTGGATCCCAGGACCCTGAGATCATAACCTGAGCCGAAGGCAGACGCTTAACCAACTGAGCCACCCAGGCGCCCCATGAGTATGTTTTATAATTAAAGAGGCCCCAGGCCAGCTCAGTCAGTAGAGCATGCGACTCGAACTCAGGGCTGAGTTAGAGACCCACATTGGGTATGGAATCTATTTTAAAAATTAAAAATTTTTAAAAAATAAAGAGGCCCCAAATCCTGATAATCACTTAATGACAATGAAATGGCATTTTATGAGTGGGCTGAGAAAGCTGCAGTGTAATGGAACAGAAAACAAGGCCTTTTGGGAGTCAAGGCTGGCCTGGGTCATGAATACACTACTTGTTTAGTAGGATGAGTAATGTGTGAGGAACTTCTGCCCAGTTTATTCACCTCTCAAGTGGTTAAACATCACGTAAGAAAAAGGCCCTGCACAATGGTTGGCAGAGTGTTACTCAAAAGACAAAACTTCCTTTCCTGACGACTCCAATTGTCTTCACTGAAGCTTTCAGCACCACTAAAAGGCATCTACTTTCAAAACTTCAGTTCCTAGCCCTCTCCAAATCATCAGCGTTCATCTACTCCTTACTACTTACAAAGAGGGCAGCTTCTACTCCCAACCTCACTCCTGGAAACTTTAATGTCAGGTGGACAGTTACATACATTGCCAACTGAAATCCAAGCGGGGCTGCCAGTTCGGTCAATTTTGCGTCCCCATCAAACCCAACAGCTGGAATGCATGAGCCAGCCACTAGTGCCGTCTGATACTCCCACCTTGGCATCCTGCCAGGATTAATGCTGAACAAGTTACCCCACACCTGTTTTACTTGGTAGTACAACTGAAGGAATCAAAAATCCTGACTGGAATCCACTTCCAATTCATGGTTATAGGATCCTAAGTTTTCCCCCAAACCCTTAGTGCAGCTACACAATTGCTCTTGCTCTCTCAATTTCTACTTTATGATTAAGGTACTCATTTCTTCACCTAGATTCTTTATAGCCTTTAGTCCCCCCAACACCCTGCCATCTGACACTAAGGGACTTTCCGAAGGACCCTCAACTAAAAATTTGCCACCTCACTCTAGGTCTAAGAGCCTTTCTCTTAGGGGATGTAAAGCCCTACAACCAACCTCTTAAGTTACCCTAACCCATAATGGATGAAACATGAAGAAAGTAGTGTAGTTTAGGCCTCAAATTCCTGAACTTGAACTCAGATCAATTACATGTTTTCTAGACACCAAGCTGTTGTACATCCCTGTACCCCATTCCACTAAGCCCATGTGTCATGGACTACCATGTGAGAAAAGTTAACAAATGACAAATTTCCAACTTGTACTTATTTGTAAAGCACTCACTGAAACAGCATGTATTTTTATCTAAACTATAAAGAAATTCTGGTGGCAAGAGCCAGCTGGAATGGGTTAAGAATTAACAGCTGCTTAAGCTTAAAAGAATTTAGGGGCACCTGGGTGGCTCAGTCAGTTAAGGGTTTGCCTTCAGCTGAGGTCACAATCCCAGGGCCCTGGGCTCAAGTCCTGCATTTGGTTCCCTGCTTCTCTGCCTCTCCCCCCGCTTCCTGTTCTCTCAAATTTTTTTGTGCCTGGGTGGCTAAGTCGGGGGGGCATCTGCCTTCAGCTCAGGTCATGATCTCAGGGTCCCTGCATGGGGCTCCCTGCTCAGTGGGTAGCCGCTTCTCCCTCTGCCCTTCCTCCCCTCCCCTTACTCATGCTCCCCTCTCTCAAAATCTTTGGGGAAAGAAAAAAAAATCTTAAAAAAAATTTAGGGGTGCCTGGGTGGCTCAGTTGTTTAGCGTCTGCCTTCGGCTCAGGTCATGATCCCAGGGTCCTGGGATCGAGCCCCGCATCGGGCTCCCTGCTCCGCAGGAAGCCTGCTTCTCCCTCTCCCACTCCCCTGCTTGTGTTCCCTCTCACTGTGTCTCTCTCCATCAAATAAATACAATCTTTAAAAAAAATTTTTTTTTAAAATTGAGAAATCATTTTGAGGGAGTTAATTCTTTCAAGAACTTTTAGCTGTCCTCAGTTTTATATTCTGGTCATTTCCATTTCCTTTTACAAATGAACAATCCTAACCGTTAACACCCAAAAAAGGGTAGCATTAAGCAACTTTCCCCCTTGGCTTGATTTGCAGATTTGGGGCTGGTCAGTAAAAACCACCCCTAAAGGATGCTAACTTTCCCCATATGAAACCTGAATGAGGTACATACTGAAACAAAGGTGCCATTTACAAGTAAGACTTGAAATGCAGGGCAAATCAGGGGCACCTGGCTGGCTCAGTGGGTACAGCTGGCCACCTGACTTCCAGGTTGTGAGTTCGAGCCCCCATGTTGGGTGTAGAGATTATTTAAAAAAAAAACAAAAGCAGCAAAAGTCACCTACAATTTTTCCGGAAAGCGCAACTTTGCTCTGGAAATAGTGAAATATTCTCCATATAAGGACCTCTCCAAATGACTAGGAAGTAACAATGTTTCCAGAAAGTTTCACTTCCTCAAGGCTAAGTACATATCTGTAACTATACAATGTTTTATGTATGTCAGAGAATGGAGGAAAAACTAAATGAGATATGTAGTATTATACCCATGTGTATCATATCATGTCAGTCTGGGAAACATTTTGGGTGTTGTGTTCTAAATAATTAACAAGAAAACTGGAATACTAAAGGAGTCTAAATACGGTTATCCTAAATTTCTGCAATCCCAATAAAGAACAAAATCGAGCAGTTATACTAGGTTTATCAAGACAAATTTTCAATGATTCTTCTCAGAATCTCCCGTGTGCGATACAGCTGAGTTCTTTTGCCATATTCCAAAGAATCTTTAATAAAGAGCATTTGTATGGGCATAGAAAACTGAATTCAACACTAATTTTTAATAAAAATATACTCCAACCCAGTTTTTCTTCAGCTACTTTAATTATAAAAATCTTTCATATTCTCAAAAAAAAAAAAAAAAACCCAGAAGGCAGCAGTCTAGTACAAAAATATACAACTGGAAGACATTACCACCAACTAGATCTGACAACTAAAAATCATGTTCACGACTGAAAATAAAAGCAAATTAAAACGAAGTACTAAACCAGTGGTCTTATTTAGTCATTTAATCAGGGATATTTATCACCTTAAATTCTTTCAAATAACAGTGTTTGGTTACTCTATAAGAAAAAAAGAGTTAACAGGCCTGGAATCAGGCTGTATTTTGAAAAACTTCTTTGATGAAAAGCATTCCTGATAAAAGTTCTGTACTAACATGAACGATATTAACTCTCTAATAAAAAGCAACCAGGGCTCCCCATCCAGATATGGGTGAGTCTAACTAAAAGGGGGAGAACACATCTACAGATCACAACTATGTAAGAAACTGTGAAAGTAAACAGTAGATAAAAGGTTATCTACATCTGATAAAATGAAAATTCCTCTGGCTAATTTATCTTCACCATTCTGCTTAAGACATGAAGGTCAGAAGTAACCCACAATTAGGTGAGAACCACAGATTATTCTGGAAAAGCATAAAAACCAACTACAATCCTTGTATCCTTAAATCATCACCCAGTATTAATAGTGACCTCTAGTGAACACCTGTAGTCATTACACTAGAGGTCAGCTTTTATGACTGATCTCTTTCAGTATTGTACTTAACTCAAGAGGATGCAGGGACAAAGTTGGCTAATGAAACAATTTTAGAAATCACAGTAACCAAAACTTTTAATAGCCAGTAGCTGAATGTGCAGTGATTTTAACAGCTTCTATATTTAAAAAAAAAAAAAAAAATTTTTTTTTTTTTTTTTTAAAACAAGCAGCCATAAAAACTGTGCTGGGGCTTCTGGTTAAAGTGATTGCAGATTTGGCCTGTGTCAGGTAACTCCCTGAGATCAACTTTATCTTAGATTCTGTATAAAGCCACATTATACCCACAACCTACTAACCTTTTTACAAAAACCCTTCCAACTTAAGGTTCTGCAAGCTGTATACTGCCAAAAACACGCATATGAATTTCCATTTAATGAATAGTGTGATTATACTGATATACCGTACTACTTCCATGACCTCTTAGCTATCTTTCCTTGTTGTGAACCAGAACAGTTTTGGGCTATGAGAAAATGCCAAAAGACAAAAAAGGCCCAAAAAGCCAGAGCTCCCAGTACATCAATAGTCTTTAAATAAAGGTCTCCTCTAAGAAGGCTCATATTGAATCTGACAATTCTACCTTGTGACACCAATGACTCTCCTCCTTAGCTGGTATCTGCATGAAGTTAGTAAGGACCACTGGAAACAATTTGTTTAGGACCTACGTCTTAGAAAATCTTTATAGGCCCAACTCAATGCAGTAACTCATCTTTCATATTAAAGTCAGTACAGCATAATCCAAAACTACCTTTAAGTAGCACATTTAAGGAAACTAAGCCACAAGACTGTTGCATTATAATTTAATCTAATTGCACAAAAATTTGAAATTACAACTCCTCTGGATTTCTAAGAGGGTTATGCATGCCTCCATATTCAATTCTGCACTATTACATTTGAACCATATAGTGAATTTTACATCATGATGGATCAATTTAGAATTCCCATGCAACACCTCAAATTATATAAAATGGAAGCAATTTTTAAGCTTTGTGGAAAGGTCTCATGCTAATGATAAAAGCCTTTTTTAATGGGTCACTTTGGGTTATAATGTACCAGGTTGCTATACTTTTAAAATGTTGGTCACAGAGTATCATGGTCTTTAAACTGGCTCCTACTCCTAAAAAATGGTTAAGTACGAACAATCACATAGGTGACAACCAAAAATCCCCTTCAGCCTCAGTTGTGTTTCTTCTAAGATTTGTGTAACCAACTGATTTCCATGGGACAAGAACTATGGTAATAGTGGGTTCGACTATTACACAATTATGCTAATATTTTATTAATTCAAAAGCACTTTACAAGAAAATAGAAGTATGGCTTCCAATAGGAATGTTATACCTGGACTTGATACCAAGCTCACAGATTTTAGTTTTGCAAGGAAAAACAGGCTTTCGGGTTAAACAACAATTTGTAACCAAAACTTTAATCCCAAGGATTCTCACAAACATATTACAAATGACAGCATGAAAAAAAAATAAATCTTGCACAGTAACTCAAAGTTCAGCTCTACAATGTACCCTTAAACTGGCAAGCCATTGGTATCTTGAATAGTTTCAAATTACCAAACAGAGATTGTTACAAAGAGCTCTGTGTTCATATACAGCAATCACATAAGGAACTTATGACCTAAAGCAAAGGTAAACTAACTTTCTTGCAACTTCCAATTCTACACCAACTGGACACCCCTGCCCAGTATGAAGAAGTTGTTTTTTGTTTTTTTTTTAAACCTCTAATCTAGTTTAACAGTACAGCTTAATTTTTACCTGCTGGCTTGTGTTCACACCAGCTTTTAAAGACTGCTTCTTCAACTACAGCTCCATACTATTATCCCAGCTATGGAAAGACTTCGTTCAATTTTTGCCAGTTTTCGTAATATTAAATGTCAAGCTTTAGCTGGGCAGAAGTTAGAGGTTTATTATCAGTCTATGTGAGACTAAACTTCAAATTCAATTTTGCTTAAGGGGACATTGTAAAGTAACAATTCTTGATATTACATGCCTCATATGATCCATTCAAATCATAGAGAATTACATCTTTATGTGTCACTGTTCCAAGAGACAAACAAATGTGAACAGCTAAAACATCTTAAAAATGCACCAAGCTTATGAAGTCTCAAACAAAACTTGAATTTTCTGTACATACTCCTGTCAAATGAAGTTATTTCCTGTACACCACTCCTCTTGCAAACTGATCTTCTATTTCCTTTCATTTGACCTAGATCGGCTAAAAAAAAAACAAAAACAAAAAAAACACCAAGAACAAAAGTTAACGTACATTACTTAATGACACAACTACATCAAAGACTTTTATGGAAAAATAGTAAAAATAATCAAAATGGCTTCAGGAAGAGCAGGTCCTCGTTAGTATAGTGGTGAGTATTCCTGCCTGTCAAAATGGCTTCAGGTGACGAGTTCTGTTTTTACCTCATTGTTTATACACAGTCCAAGTCATTAAAGATCTTACCTACGAGACCTAGAGAAGGATCGGGAAGGCTTGTGATTTCTCTCCCGAGACAGCGATCTCTCTCTCCTCCTATCTCTAGAAAGGGACCTAAAACCAGAAGAAAAATAGGACCATTCAGAATTATACACAACAAACATCTGTACGAAGTCTTCAAAAACTAAGTTGGTTCGTTCCGGCAACACTGGCTCTATTACACCACTTGATTCATTACTAAAGCCAGTCTTTTTATCATTAACCATGTCATTTAGAGGACAGTTTAAAGAACAGAAGCGCGGTCATTCCTGAGAACATGCCCAAAAAAGGTAGTTATTTACCTGCTCCGGCTGCGGGAGAAGCTTCTCCGTCTTGGAGATCTAAAAGCAGAAACAGGAAAATTAGGCTAATTGTCAATTAGTATTTATGGCGTGAGGCATTTCCCAACTTTTCAATCTCACTGTTGGGCCCAGTGAATGTGCCGAAGAACTGGCACCCATCGTCCAAAAAAAATAAAACAAAAAAATAAAAAACAGGGGAAAAAAAACGGAAAAGAAAAAAAGGCACAGAAGGATTAAGGAACCAAAAGCTCAAGTGAACAGCAGGTATTCCAACCATGGATTCACTTTAACAAAGAATGCTTCACAGCAGATCTGTCCAATGCAAAACTTCATGTCAAACTAACTTCACTACCCAAACACCACACCAAAATATAGTCCCACAAGTAGTTCCAAAAACAGTACCATAAACCAGTATTTGGAACCCATGCAAACCTGTAAGTCCATGACAAGACTTAGGTACCAGGTGGATAGTGTAATTTTGTGAAAACGCGCTAGGTGTAAATACTGATGCCATTAAGTGCTACATTAGAACTGCATTTGTGATCGTCACATTTAAGAGTGTGTTTAGGCTTATAAAAATTACCTTAGCTTGGCCCACTTCACCCCCAAAATTTAAATTTTGAAAACTGTTAGTAAAACCATTTAAAGGTGATAGGATTCAACAAATTTTTGCTAGAAAGGAAAGCTAAATCTGTTAGAGTTATTAAAATTTTTAGTTTGGCATCTCACACATGCAAATAAGTTTCACTTGAAGGTCTAGTTACATTATGAGTTCCCTATCACCCTTAAAAGTTTTATTCAAGCAATATATATGTACGTTACCATTCAATTATGCACAGCCAGCCTTTGATCCAGAAAAAAGAATTACTTTAAGCCGCTTACTCCTTATTTTAACCAGCAGTAAACTGTATAAGCAGGAAAAACTTACTAGTTTTGGGTTTCAACAAGCTAGAAATGGTGAGGTGAGGCTGCCGGACTGACGGCCAGGAAGAATTTGCTGAAAAGGTTTTGCCAGATGTTGCGTTGGATTTAGTTGGTTGGCGAAGGGGGTGTTGTGGATTTTTCCTGCTTTTTTGTTAGCCGAAGGCTGCTGCTGTAGTTGTTGTGAAGACATTTGGTAAATAAACAGCTGAGCTGATTGGCCAGGAATGTGTGGGCGGTCGAGGTGGCTGCTGCCGATTTGGTTAAGGTTGGAGAGAAGGCTGAGAGAAAACAGCATGCTCGGGAACCAAAGGGCGGTGCAACCTGACGACTGGCCATGCCTGGGTCATGTGAAACGACACCAGCCAAGCTGAATGGGGCGCGCTGGTCACATGACGCTGAAAGGGCTAGTTGACTGGCTAATGCAGACTCAGAGGGTGGTGAGAAGAGACATGATGGTGACTCTGTAACGGGGTTCATTTTTATTAATAGATGGACCAAAAAGCACAAAAAAAAAATGAAAAACAAGCCATCAGTACAACCATCTATTTAGCTAACAAATACTCTTTATTATGATGGGCAACAGTGTGTTGTTTTGTTTTTCAAAATAGCAAAAGGGGCAAGATTTTGAACTCCTATCTCCTAGAAGGACTTCACTCACCTGTAAGAGGTAAATTCAGTCCTATAGAAACTATTTTGGAGGTTTGAGGAGATGTGGAGTTAGCATCCAGACAATACTGCCTGGTCCAAGAATGATGCCATTTTCAATTATAAAAAAACTGAAATCTCTCCTATTTGGGTTTGAAGAACAGATGACTGGGATTACTTTTTTTTAGCCCCCTTTATCGGTCAGTGACTTTAGTTTCAGAATGATTTCTACTTTACCAGTTGTAACATTACAACAGCTGCCTGGTTGATAAATACTACAATCGTGCTAATAGTAGAAAACACATTTTTGTGAAGAGCTAGAGTTGAATGTAATGTTTGTCATTATGGAGTCAAGAAATGGAAAAAGGCCTAAATTGAAGTATAAGGGAAGACTTGGAAAGATGCAACTAGAAGATGAACTAGAAGATAGATCCAAGATAGAAGTTACTGACTACCAACATGAACAGTGACCTAAAGACAAAAGCCAACACTCAGCACAACTCACATACCCCAAACTACACCCAGCACATGTTTCATAAAAACCTCCGATTCTTCAAAGTTTAAAACCCACCAACAAACTTTAAGAGAAATACCTGCTCCTATTAGCTACTCCATTACACCAATACCTCTAAACACGCTCTCAAGTACCTGCGGCGAGGTGGAGGACTCCTTCTCCGATAATCATCTCGAGGGCGACGACCCCAAGACGGTGGTGGGCCACGATTTCGACTTCTCTTTTCACCATTCGAGAGTTCCACTCTTACTCGGCAGCCACATAATGTTCTAAGAAAAGAAGAAACATTATTAAATTTAAAAAAGCCAAACTGACTTTCTAGGAGATGTGTATTAAAGCAAAAAGAAAGCACTCCTAACTTAGCTTCTTTGCAAAGTACACACCTGAATGTCTGTAGAAGCCTTAACAGCAAAACAAGTTTTTCTCATAAAGAAAACCAACTTCCTTGCATTTCAGTGCTTTGTTCAAGTCCATCTAAATCACTGGGCTCAATGTTAACTTGTTAACGTTACAAGTGTGAAACCCCTGGATTCATCCTCAAAGAACTAGTTCATCTGTACATCCTGCTGGGAGATCCCCCAGCACTTGTTTACTGATCTCACTGTATTTGCTTTGCTGCTGGTCTTTCTCCTCCCTCCACAACCCCTCTCCATGCAAAAGCAGTGAACTGAAGCATTTTGGCCATTTCACACCACCATCTCCCCTCAGTGTTCACACAATAACTGACACTTAGGAAACTGCAGCTGAGAATAGTTGGGAACAAAGTAATCCCCCACCTCTTCATTGTTCCACATCCGTTTAGATAAACCACCATTATTTGGACAGTGATTGAGAAAAGGCGGGGTTCTGGAAAAATCTGTTTCTATAATCTGCTTGGATAAATGACCTTTTACACAGCTTTACAGTCAACCCTCAGACCCCTTAACTTTTGGATCTTAAGGATTAACCATTTATCTTGGTTTCATGAAATCCAGCAGTTTTCAAAGACCAGAAAGGAGGGGGAGAAGGGCAGCACCTGTTCCCTCTAAGATTCAGGTGTTACTTTATCAGCCATTAAGAGGACACCGTAAACGCAAAAGGAAATAGCTACATATTCCACCCTAAATATCTAAACACGTAGAAGATAATGGCATAAGCCCACGTAACCATCATCCAACTACAATTGTCATTTTGTGGCCATTCTTATTTGAAGAGTACCTGATTTCCAATTGTTTCAGAACCAATTCAAAGGTGACACCACGGGTGACACTTTGTGGAAGGTTTAGATCAAAATGCTTTAATCACATTTTGGATGCAAAAATCCACCCAAGAATTGACCCACTAAACTTATGTCTTCACTGGCCACCTGAATAAAAAGATCTTCCCTGTGTATCACCAGTAAAACCATTCAGTCCTTTTTCATTGCAGCAAAGACTTTACATAAGTCTCTAAGAACATTAACTTCAGATAGCCAAGAAGCCATCTAAAAGCCACGTATCCTAGGAATTTTAAATATTAAAAACACAACATTTTTATTATCAATATAAATTAGTCATCAAATTACCTCCCATCTAGTTCTCGAACAGCATCGGCTGCATCTCGGGGATCTTCAAATTCAACAAAAGCAAAGCCGGGAGGGTTTCTAGCAACCCACACACTTCGGAGTGGTCCGTAATAGCCAAAAGCTCGTTCCAATTCAGTCTTGTTACCATTGTTTCCAAGATTACCTACATAAACCTTACAGTCCAATGGACAGGAATCACGATGCATTTCTGTAACAAAAAGAATACCACAAACATTAACCATTTATGCAATAATCTACACAGTGACAAACAGATCCTTGAGAGAATGCTGAAATACCAAAAACCAAACAAGTTACTACCCTCCAAACACCCATTTTTCTCTCATCTGTACTGATAACCACAAAGAAGCCATCACGAATTGCATTAAGAAAAAAAGGTCTCCTTGAAAAATTGAGGGGGGAAAACAAACACCGAAGGAGCATTTACTACAATCTGGGCACAGAGTTAAGGACTTTATTACTACAATTAATCTCAAAAATAAAGCACTTAGAAAAATAGGATGACTTGCTCAGAAGCAAATCCTGGAGACACAAAATCCAAATGAAACCATGCTTAAAACCAGACCGTAGTTAAAGCCGAGTCACTTGAAAAGTGGTACTAATGTGCCCTCATAAGCAAAAACTTAACCAGCTTCACTCCTCGAGCAGCTAAGTGTTAGGTTTTTTAAAAAAATGTACATCACAGCAGCACTACTCTCAAAAGCCAAAATCAAAAGATAAATAGATAAGCAAAATTACCCATACAATGGAATATTACTCAGAATGAAGTATTTATTGATAAATGCTTCAAACATGAATACTGAAAACATGCTATTACTGATGCCAAACTCAAAACTGCACATACTATGAGTCTATGTATGTGAAATATCCAACAGGTAAACCCAGAGACATTACTGGTTACCAGGGGCTGGGGGAGAGGGCAGAGGAAATGGGGGAAAGCTGCTTAATAGGTAGGTATAGGTCTCCTTAGGGAATAAAAAAAAGTTTTGCCACTAGACAGGATGGCTGCACAGCATTGGGAATGTACTGAATACCACTGAATTGCACACTTTAAAATGAAATTTATGTTAATTTCACCTCGGGGGGGGGGATTTCTTAGTGCACGTACTTACTGCCTTTGGGGGCTTATATTTGATAAATCTTCAAAAAGTCACCTCGACAATGAATCTAATCAACTTGTAGATCAGTTTCAACTGCAAAGTGTAGCCAACCCAATAACTCAGCTTAAGGGCTTCTCCTGAAACACCACGTTCTTCTCACTCTGAGGTTACCCAATTAAATTAACTAGTGCAGACACATCCTATTTGCATGACCCCACCCTGTACCCAGGAGTTCTGAAGCCAAATCATTGCTGGAGGTTGGTTTTTTAAAAAACTTAGCCGTAAACCGTTTCAGTTAACTATCAACGGGAAGCTACTACAAGAACAATGCTACTCAAGGAAGATCCTTCGGTTTTAAAAAAAAAAAAAAAAGTGATAGGGTGTATGAAGTCAGATTAAAATTAGATAAAAATACGGGTGAGTACAGAAACCAAGTAATACGGATCAAAAGGTCCAATCGCGATTGGTGACTTGAGAAAAATTTCCTGAGTAGCTTCCAAAGAAAACGTGGTGGGGGGGGAGAGAGAAAAAGGCGCCATAAACTCAAAAGGCCGCGGCGCGGAGTACAATTCAGTTTGCGGCTTCCCCCCCTTCGCCTCAACTTTCGGGTAATCTCACTTCTCACTTCACCCCCTGCCCCGTAAAAGATTATAAACACCTCCACTTTTGAGGCCCAGGTACCTTCTCTAATGGGTCAAAAGCCCCCGCCACCGCCCCATGCTGAACGTCACAAAATGGCGGCGGCGTCTCTTTGTCTCAACCTGGCGCCGCCATTGGGCCTGGTCCCTCCGCGATACTGTTAAGGGCCATTTCCCACTACATTCCTTTAGTCGCCGGTCACTTACCGAGATCGTGGGTTGGAAAGCGGACGCTCAAATCCACACACCCTCAGATGGGTCTTCCCGCTTCCCGCTCCCCTCCCCGCCCGGCTCCCGCAGATGCTCTCCCCGACTTGGCGTCCACGAAATGGCGGACCACCGCCTTCTCCTCGCCCTTATTTATACGCCACGCCGAAGTCACATGATTGGACGGACTCGCCCAATGAGAGTCGGAGGAGGCCGTGACGTTGCGCCCATAAACGCAACGAGAATCACGGTTGCTGGGAGCGCGATCTGGCGGTGCTCCTTGCACGGCGGAGATGTACGCCGCCGCGATCCGGTCATCTCAGGCCTGGGGCTTCCTCGGGTGTTTACGCGTGGCCGACCTCCAAGTTACCCTCAGTTCTCCTCTCCCTCGTCTCCGGGTAGACTGGGGTTTCATAACACCACTGTCGTCACTCCCAAACCCCGATTGAGCCGTTTGCTCCAAATAAGATTTAGGTACCAGATGACTTCATTAATTACTTCATCCTGGAAAATGGTTACACTGGAATGAAGACCATCGCGTTTACAAACGTGCTTTAGAGTTTCTCCCAAGGTCACTGAGCTGTGTGAGGCCAAGCTGCCACCAGATTGTGCCCGCCCACGTCCCACGCTATGGAAAAGCCCGATATGGAAAGTCGGCCCGCTTCTGGCTGGTTTCCCGCCTCTCCCGCAAACCGCAGCGTTTGGCAGAGAGGGGTGGCGTCATTAGCCCGGACTCAAACTGTTTAATAGAAATCAAAAGCAAATGAGACCGGTCAGGCCATCTGGACGCTCACCTTTAGCAAATAACAGCAAAAGGAACTTCCTGAAGAAGAATTAGTTTAAATACTGGGCCCCCAAACGAATGCCAGGAAGGGCACCTCTGACCTTTCTCCTGGATGAGGCTAGATTGCTATGTTGACTTGAGGGTGGGACTCGGGTCCTCAGACCACTCATATCTTCCTCTGTTTTCCACTCCCCCCTAGAAAAACAGAGGCGCAAGAATAGTTAACTACTGGGAGAGAAATACCTCAATCGTGCTTGAAAATGGTTAAGATCTCCCTCTCTGGAACAGTGAGTTAAGCTGGGAAGTTTGTCTGGTGTCCTGAAACCTACTCCCCTACCCTCTTTCAGTGCTGTCTTACTGCTAAAATTTAAATCTCTCAAGAAAAAGAAAAAGAATAATACCTTGTATTTTCAGTCACAAGGTGAAAGATATGCCATTATTGACTTACAGCTCCCAGACACTTTCTTTTGAAGCCTTACCTCCTATTGTGGCTCTACAAGGTTTATCCATAGTGGGGGGAAAAATACAGAAATGTAATGGCTCTGAGCCTTAGTTTTCTCACTGTAAAATACGAATTTCATACTGCAGGGACTGAGCCAGGACCTGGGCTGGCCTAACCTGGGGTGTTTCCCAGGTGAGGGGGGATTTTAGCAAACCCTTTCTCTTTGTCTTCTTACTTTTCTCTCCTTCTCTAGATGTTTTTCTCTTCTGGCTCACTTATATTGCCTTGGTTTGATCTCCTTCTCTGTGTGAGCTTTTCTCCTCTTTTAAATTTTATTTTCTTCTGCCAAAGCAAAGGCTTTAAAGGCAGACAGTCCTGGATCTGAACTACCAAAGTCCCCCTACTTGAACTCAGGACCCTGAGATCAAGAGTCTCGATCTCCGCTGGGGAACTACCTGTCTCACTGTAGACTGTGGTATTGATTCAAGTGTGGTTGGGTTAATTAAATCTTTCCAGTTCTTAGCACCCCTCCCCCACCCCAATTAGTTCAGGAATGGATGAGCAATCCAATCAGACCAGTCAGCTGCTATTTCGCTAATTCTAGCCCTGCTGCTAGGTCAACCAGAGGTGTGCTCATTTCCTCTGACTAGTGGGTTCCTGAGCCAGGGCAGCCATCCTGTTTCCAGGAGGGAAGAGGCAGTCTGCAGTGGATCCAATCTAAAGGGAGAGAACTGAGAGATGCGGAATAGAGTCCTGGAACTCTTGTTTGAGAAGACCTGATCCCAGTTCCACTTCTGGAATTCCCCAACGTACCTTCCCTACCTAACACCTCACCCAATTTGCCTAAGTCACTTGATTTTTTTTTTTCCTGTCACTTGCAAACAGAAAGATTCCAATTACTTCATAGACCTATACCTCTGAAACCAACAATACACTATGTTAATTTATTGAATTAAAGTAGTTTTAAAAAAATTCCAAATACAGAAATTACTCTGACACAGACTTCTCAGTACCTCAGATTGAGAATCACAGCACTGAGTTTTCTTCTGATTTCAAATTCACCCCTTACCAATTCACTAAGTACTTTTTTTTTTAAGGAAAAAAAATGACTGATGGCCAGGCATTAATATCTATGTATAAGAATTACTACTTTAATATTGTGATTGACTTCAAGTACAGCAGAAAATCTATAAGAGCATGGGCCATGACAAAAGTACATTAGCTACTTGGTTCAGCTGTACTCGTAGGAAGCAGATGGCACATTCAACAAAGAGTTAACTGAAGAGGTAATTATTTACAGGGCTAAGGAAACCCACTTGGGATGAGGTTATTCCCAGTGGCAGCTTTTAGACCCTATGAAGCAAGGAACAGAGCAGGATTACCAGAAGCCACTAAATGCTATGGCTATGAATAGAGGCCACTATGGCCTGAGGTAGAGGAACTGCAGCAGCCCAGTTTGGGGGGCGGGGGTAGGGATGGTTAAAAGAGGAATAACTGGACTAATCTCTCTTCCCATAGTCACTTCTATCGCCCAAAAGCCATCGGGAAACCTGAGGGCAAGAGAGCTGAGTGATGCAAGCTTAGAGGTCAGCCTCACGGGGACAGAGCAGGTCAGAGAAGACCAGAAAACTGATTCAGGTCTGTGTTGTCCAGTACAGCAGCCACTGGACACACATAGCTATTTGAGTCCCAATTAACCTGTGCTGTAAATGTAAAATACATGCTAGATTCCAAACACTCAGTATTTTAAAAAAGGAATGTAAAATATCCCATTTTTACATTGATGATATGTTGAAATGATAGTTTCTTCATGCATTGGGTTAAATAAATGATATTATTAAAATTAACTTAATCTGTTTCTTTATACTTTTTAACTGTGGCTACCAGCACATTTAAAATTACATGTTTAGGGGCACCTGGGTGGCTTCTGCTCCGGTCATGATCCCAGGGGTCCTGGGTTCGAGTCCCACATCAGGCTCCTTGCTCAGCAGGGAGCCTGCTTCTCTGTCTCTCTCCCTCTGCTTGTGCTCTCTCTGTCAAATAAATAAAATCTTTAAAAAAAAAAAGAAGTATGTGCACCAAAAAAAGAAGAAGAAGAAAAAGTATGTGTACCCAGTAGACTTTCCACCCTCCACATAGAATATTCCAGGTGACAACTGGACTTTTTATTTATTTATTTATTTTTAGATTTTTATTTATTTATTGAGAGAGAGAGAAAATGATAGCACGAGAGGGAGGAGGGTCAGAGGGAGAAGCAGACTCCCCGCTGAGCAGGGAGCCCGATGTGGGATTCCATCCCGCGACTCCAGGATCATGACCTAAGCCGAAGGCAGTCGCTTAACCAACTGAGCCACCCAGGCGCCCCATGGACTTTTTACTTTCAAAGCGGGGTGGGGTTCTTGTGCCTGGAAAGGAATAATGACTGATTCTGATAGTGTTTTTGTTTTTGTTTTTTAAAGATTTTATTTATTTATTTGAGAGAGAAAGAGACAGAGAGCATGAGCAGGGGGAGGGGCAGAGGGAGAGGGAGAAGCAGACTCCCTGCTGAGTAGGGAGCCTGACTCAGGGCTCCATCCCTGGACCCCGAGATCATGACCTGAGCCAAAGGAGATGCCCAACCAACTGAGCCACCCACGTACTCCTAATTCTGGTGTTTTGATTAATATTAAATTAATCAGTTTCAAATTCTTGAATCCAGTTCTTTTTGTACTCTTAAGCTAAACCTTCCAATCATCGTTTTATTTTCTAAAAATTGAATGTTTCTTTTCTTTTTTTTTTTAAGATTTTTATTTATTTATTTGTCAGAGAGAGAGAGCACAATCAGGGGGAGCAGCAGAGGGAGAGGGAGAAGCAGACTCCTCACTGAGCAAGGAGCCCAGTGTGGGACTCAATCCCAGGACCTTGGGATCATGACCTGAGCCGAAGGCAGACGCTCAACGACTGAGCCACCCAGGCGTCCAAATCGAATGTTTCTTAATAAGATCTATAATCCCCACTGTCCTTAGATAAATCTTTAATAGAATCAGAAATTTGGGGTGCCTGGCTGGCTCAGTCCGTAGAGCATGCAACTTTTGATGTCTGGGTTGTGAGTTCAAGCCCCACGTTGATTACTTAAAAATAAAATTTAAAAGGGGCGCCTGGGTGGCTCAGTT